TAGATAGCTAGATACATAGATAGATAGATAGATAGATAGATAGATAGATAGATAGATAGATAATGGATGGATAGATATGACAGGTGAAGAGATAGAGAGATCGAGAAAGAGAAAATGTATTGGTGAATTAATGGATGCATGCTTAGATAGATGAGAGAGAGAGAGAGAGAGAGAGAGAGATGATGGATGGATAGATAGATAGATAGATAGATAGATACTATATATCTATCTATCTATATATCTATCTATAGATAGATAGATAGATAGATAGATAGATAGATAGATATATAGATAGATAAGTGGATGGATGGATAGAGAATGACACAGGTGAAGAGATAGAGAGATCGAGAAAGAGAAAAATGTATTGGTGAATTGATGGATGGATGCATTGGTAGATACAGTGTATGTTTGTGCATTGGCATATCTGTGTCCCTAACAAAAAACCTTCTCACACTGAAAATTGCACTAAAAAGAACCTGGTTTATATTCGTGATGCAGCTATACTTTTCTTGACAACGGCGGTCTAAATACGGAAAGGAGAGAGAGAGCCAGGAAGGAACGCACCCCGACTTTTACACTTCACATTTATTTTGAAAAACATGTCTTCTGAAAAATACTCCTACAAAGGCATCGGAGCAGCAGGTTCTGTTTTCCTTTATAAATACATCTGGTTTATCATTATTATCATTATTATTATCCCGTTCCCTTCCGTCCCTCCCTCCGCAGCAACATCCAGAGATGCCTGATGGAGCCAAGGGAAGAGAAGGCCCTGGTTGGAATGGAAGACACACCCCGTGGGACAAGGGCCGGAACACCACGCAGCTATTCACATTGCCTAAAAAATACAAATACTGTCAGGGGAGGAAAGAGCAGCGTCACACACAAACAAGGCCACGACTCGCGGGGCAGAGGGCCGCTTGCCCCACTGCCGGAGAAAACGGGTTGCTGTTTCACCGAAATGACGGATGGCAGAGCAGTTGTGTCATTTTGAAACGTTCGTGCCCATGTCCGTGCCTCTCCCTCTTCGCATACAGAACAAAAGGGGCAATGACCGAAGTGGACGTCGAACAAGGTGAAGGCGGAGGACAACTATATGCAAGGCCATAGTTTTACTTTTGGTGATGGTTGGCTTCTGCACCCCACACATTTGGTGGCCGTTTGGCTGCCCTGCACATTTGGTGGCAGTTTGGCTGCCCCGCACATTTGGTGGCCGTTTGGCTGCCCCGCACATTTGGTGGCCGTTTGGCTGCCCTGCACATTTGGTGGCTGTTTGGCTGCCCCACACATTTGTTCCTGGTCTCTCCTTCCTTGGATGGGATAATACTGTGATCCATACTTGCATACCCATTCAAGATGGAAGAGAAGGGCCACCAAATTGTGTGGAAAGGTGTGGAAACCAGCCCTATGAGGAATGGCTTTGGGAGTTTGTAGATGGGACATGATAGCCATGTTCAAATATCATCCAAAAGCTTGAGGGCAAACGGCAACCCCAAGGGTACCTATATGAGAAAGTGGCGACCTCCAGATGTTCTTGGACTCCTACAATCCTTTGCATTAAGCCAAGCTGATTAGGAATGATGAGACTTGCAGGCTGACTACATCTGGAAGCTCCCTTGCTACCTTTCCCCACAACATTGGTTTGATGGAAGATGTTCTAGACCAGTGGTGTCCATCCAACTTGTGGTCCTCCAGGTTGCTTTGGACTTCAGCATCGCAGAATTCTTGAACATTGGACAAGATGGCAACAGGGGCTTCTGGAGAACGCTGGAGAACTAAAGGTTGGACACCACTGTTCTAGATTCTTCATCTAGGAAGATGTTTGGAATGACCAGGAATCACTGAAAGAACGGAAATATTTGCAACTATGGATGTGTGACCGAAAGAGTCCTACCATTGTTTTTGGTCAGATTCCGGGACCTCTCAAGCAAGCTTCCCCCCACCCCCCACACAGCTCAATCACAGTGTTGAAGGACGCCAAGGCATTTTATTGCTATGCTAAATGGAGTGCTGGCAATCCAGTATCATCAACCACAGGAGGTCTAGCGAGGTCAATGGCATGACCATCTGGTGGACAAGGAAGAGAGTTGAGACAAGGAGATGCTGGCTCAGATGAGATGTTTGGAAGGGTGTGGCCAAGGAGCTGTGAGGTTTGCACACTGTTCATGCACATTGTTTCGGCCCCTTGGCTAGTTTAAAGGTGGAAGGACCACCTTGAAAGGAGGAGGAGGAACGTTCTCCAATAAGTCACCACACACTCCCTACTTCAGACAGTTGAGTCCCATCCAATTGGCACCTTGATTGGTCCAACTTGGACTTCTTTCATCTTTCATCTCAGAAAGCTGAGACAATAGGATGCTGGATCAGATGAGATGTTTGGAGGGTGTAACCAAGGAGCGGTGAAGTTACTGTTCAAGCGTATTGTTCAAGGCCTGGCCTTTGGGCCCCTTGGTGAGTTCAAAGATGGAAAGACCACTTTGTAAGAAGGAAAAGGCAAGCTCTCCAATAAGTCACAGCATAGTTCCTTGTTCGGACAGTTGAGTTCCATCCAATCAGCATCTCGATGGATTCAACATGGAAAACAAGTTGGACCTCTTTCATCCTCCGCCCTGTGGAATAGCCCTCCGGTGTCACAGTGGAATGGATCAGGTAGATAAAATGGGTGCATGCGGGTGTTGTCGTTCTGCTGGTGAAGGTGGCCTCCTGGTCCCTCTCCCCCAAATTATTATTACGTTTATGTATACCTCGCTTTTCTCTGCACAAGGAGACTTCAAGAAAAGCCAGCAGCAACGGAGTAGGCCTGCACTGGGAAGACAGACGAGAGCAGCTTTAGTGCAAAGGTAACCAGAGTCCTCCTCTGAGTGGAAGGCCAGCAATGGAGCCCAAACAAGGTGAAAGGCGAAGGACAACTATATGCAAGGCCATAGTTTTACTTTTGGTGATGGTTGGCTTCCGTACCCGACACATTTGGTGGCTGTTTGGCTGCCCTGCGCAGTTGGTGGCCGTTTGGCTGCCCCACACATTTGGTGGTCGTTTGACTGCCCCGCACATTTGTTCCTGGTCTCTCCATCCTTGGATGGGATAATACTGTGATGCATACTTACGTACCCATTCTTTCCACAAGGAGACTTCAAGCGAAGCCAGCAGCAACAGAGTAGGCCTGCACTGGGAAGACAGACGAAGGCAGCTTTAGTGCAAAGGTAACCGGAGTTTTCCTCTGAGTGGAAGGCCAGCAACGGAGCCCGAAGGTCTGAGTTCCAGCAGAGCATTGTTTTGGGGAAGGGCACAGTGAGTGGTACTAGAATGGCCAAAATCTGCCATAGAGATGCGCTGTCCCCTTCCGTAGGCCTTGCCTACAGAATAAGGGTGCCCTACTGCAACTGCGCAGCTAAGCGAAGCACGGGCTGCTTACAATGATCTGGGATGTCAACCACTTTCATGGCATCCAAGCCTCCATGTTGTGTGAGAATGGGACAGAAGACCTGAAAAGGCAACATGTACTTTATTGACCTTTCCTTGGGTGGCCCGTGAAAGGTTGGACCTCAGTCTCAATGTGTCTGGTTCGGAAACGAAAGGAATTTGTGGTTTTCTACTCGGTGAGCAATCCGGAGAAAAGCAAACTGTGGGTTCAAATGATGCTCCTGTACTGGAACTCTTGTCTTTAAAATCGGTTTTGTCCTCATTTAAAATAGAAAGAAGCATGCAAGGTTGAGGACCACCGCTTTCCATACACATTGTGGAAAACCATGGTTTCCCCCTATTACACTACATAACAGAGTTGTCTGTTCCTGGGTTGTCAATGTCATTTCCTCATAAAAACATGGGAAAAGTTGATTATACTGCCAAAACTTTGTTTTTTGAGGTCTAAGGGAGATTGCAAATGAAGTGCCCTAGACTGAAGGATATGATTGTTTCTGGAGTAGAACATCTACTTTCAAAGGAAGGACCACATAATTAAATGGGAAATAACACTTTCAAACCAGGAACAGATTTTTTTTCAAGTTTAGTGACATAGTGTTATCTGAACCAGATGTTTGTCCAATCTTTAACTTCTATTGGAACTGCTAGGAGCCATCGCCCCGTGTAGCTGAGGAGCTACATTGATATCTCCACCCTTTCGCCATATTTCTCCTCGAACCGCTCAGAACTTTCTCTGTGTCCCCAACCTTTACAAGATCAAAGCAAGAGTCCAAAGCAAGATGAGGAGAAGTAGCCAAGTCAAGTGGCAGAACAAGACCAGGAGGAACATCTAATGTGGCTTCGGGATTTCAGGCTGTTGCCATAGTCTGATCCTGAGAAGCCTATGGAGTAGGGCTGGGCGGTTTCGTTTGTTAATTTCATAATTCGTTATTAATTTGTATTTAAATTAGCTTACGATCCGCTATTGAGCCATGCAGGAATAGTGTGAGGAGTAAATTAGATTCGAAACAATTTTTTAAATGTATTTCGTAATTGTTTCGTAATTGGTTCAAAATTGTTTCGTAATTATTTCGTAATTATTTTCGCATGTCTGGTGCAAGTTTTATAGTTGTTGTTTTTTTTATCACACCAACAGTCATCAACAGAGGGAGAGGGAAGCTTCAGAAGTTCCCCCTGTCCCATTTGGAGGTTTTTTTAGCATATTGCGCAATTGCGTCCACCATTAACGAATCGATTCGTAATTCTATGAAATTTCGTAAATTTTGAAATTTTTAAAAGGAAAATTTCGGAATTCTTTAAAAAAACGAAACGCGATGGACCCCTAAAAACGAAACAAGTTTAGAAACAAATTTTTTCCGTTGTTACCCAAGCCTACTACATTGACATCTCCACTCTTTCGCCATAATTCTCCTCGAACTGCTCAGAACTTTCCCTGTATCCCCAACCTTTACAAGATCAAAGCAAGAGTCCATCTTGCACTGACCAATGCTCAAGCTTAGCAAGTTAAGCCTGACATCCATGATGAGGAGAAGAAACCAAGTCAAGTGGCAGAACGAGACCAGGAGGAACATCTAGTGTGGCTTTCAGGCTGTTGCCATAGTCTGATCCTGAGAAGCCTACGGAGCCCTCTTCTGACATATTGCCCTTGTTTCTCCAAGAAGAAAGGTTGAGTGAGTATTAGATGGATCATCATCATAGGTGATATCTGATCATGCATGGCTCTACATCTGCAAGGTGTCTCCGCGGTCCGACCCTCTTGCTCTGTGTGCTCCACTTCCAGTTGGCCTTCATTTTCTGAGAGCTTTTATGGTCTATTTCCCACTTGTGAAAGGAAAGGAACTGATTCCTAAGTCCAAGCCCACCACCTCACAGAAATTCCTTGGAGACGAGGGAAAGGGACTTAGAAGGAAGCCTGGTCCAAGGATTTTTGTGGAAACTGGAGAGTATCTATGGGAAGCAATGGATTCGGAAATGTCATCCTGCTTTTGTAACAAACAAACAAAAATCCCTTCTACCCAAACAAAGAAGGAAATGGGGGGGAAATTCACCCCGCCGCAGCCCTCCCCCCAACGCCCATGACCCATGTAAACAAAGTAGAAAAAGATGGAACCCAATGGGAATGCACATCGACTCTACAACATACTGCATGGCACTCAGGGAGGGGCAAGATGTCCGAGCTGTGAGGTCTGGTGAAAAGTCTTGTGCATAATGATATGTAGGAGCCACCGCTGGGGAGTTGCAGGGGGCGGAGCCTCCGGGAAGCGCCGCTCCTCGAAACCGTCCCAGTGCAAACGAGTAGAAATTCAACCAAAGTCCCTCGACAACGAGGAGCAAGAGGGAGCGAGTAGAGGCAGAGGAGGAGGGAGGCGTCTGCTTCCGATTCCAGTCTTTCCGTGGAAAAACAAGTTTACAAAACCACGGCAGTCCCGTCCTAACGAGACACGCAGTACCCACTTTGTGGGGAAAGTTATCTTTCCTGTCATTTCCCCCCAATTTGCAGAAAGGGGGAGGCATGCCCTGCCAGGCTCAGAAGGACATGCAGTTTGGCAAACCGCCACCCAAGCACGCCACCCAAACGTTTCCGGTCCACTCCAGGTCCTTCCCCGCATCATGTGTTTCATCAAAGCCCTTCGAGCAAAAGCCATTGCAGTTCCGTTCCGTGTTCCTTTTTATAATAATAATAAAAAAAATCTTTCTAAATAAGAGTCGTCATCACCATTCCCTTTTGCCCCCCTTTTTTGGGGGGGATTCTTCAAGTGCAGCAACTTTGCTCTGGGGCCGTCCCTTCCCTGTCGCCGCCGTCTCTTGTCGGGAAGCGGGGAATGCAAGGCCCTCCAAGAGCCGGGACACACAGGGACAAAACGGGAGTGGGCCTCGAGGATGAAGCGTGGGTCAGGATCGCTTTCTCAAACCTCCACTGATTGGATCTGGTTCATTTGGGCTCTCATCACCTGGATACTGTTGAGGATTTTCTTCTGGTGCCCGGCGAGCGTGACCCCGACCCGTAGGATGTCCCTGGGAGCGGAAAAAGATGGAAAAGAAGAGAGGAAAGTTAGCAAGGTCGGATTAAATTCATGTTTGTTTGTTTATTTATTTATTTATTTATTTATTATTCGAACTTATATGCCGCCACACCCCTGGGGCTCGGAGCGGCTTACAAGAACAGGCTAAAATCTAACACAATTTAAAAACAATTTAAAACAATTTAAAAACAGCGATATCAGAGATCAAAGGCCTGTCGAAACAGATATGTCTTACATGCCCTGCGGAAAGCTGGTAAGTCCCGCAAGGCACGGACTTCAGGTGGCAGAGTGTTCCAGAGCGATGGTGCCACTGCTGTGAAGGCTCTGCGTCTGGTTGCTGTTAGACGCAAGGTCTTGACACTGGGAATTTCCAATAGATCTTGGTCCTCAGAACGGAGGGATCTCTGGGGTTGGTAGGGGGTGAGGCGGTCCCTCAGGTACATTGGCCCCAGACCATGCAAGGCCTTAAAGGTGAGTACCATCCCTTTGAAAGTGATCCGGTGCTCAATTGGTAGTAAGATTGGTGTTATGTGGCATCTCATCGGAATTCCCGCAAGAAGCCGAGCAGCTGCATTTTGTACCAACTTGAGCTTCCGGATCACCGACAGAGGAAGGCCAATGTAGAGGGCGTTACAGTAGTCCAGTCTTGAGATGACCGTGGCCTGGATCACCGTAGCTAGGTCGTCCCTGGACAGGGAGGGGGCCAGCCATCTAGCCTGCCGCAGGTGAAAGAAGGCGGTTCTGCTCACGGCGGAGACCTGGGCCTCCATTGTCAGCAGAGGGTCCAAAAGGACTCCCAGACTCTTTACCAATGATGACGGGCGTAACAGCTCGCCATCCAGGGTGGGCAGATGGATGTCCCCACTGCCTGGGCCGACCCAGCCATAGGATCTCCGTCTTTGCTGGATTCACCCTCAACCTGCTGGCACGCAGCCATCCAGTAATGGCCTCGAGGCACTGATGGAAACAATCGGGTACAGAGTCCGGTCGGCCTTCCATCTTCAGCACCAGCTGAGTGTCATCGGCGTACTGGTAACACTCCAGCCCAAAACCTCGAACCAGCTGAGCAAGTGGTCGCATATAGATGTTAAACAACAGAGGGGAGAGAATGCCCCCTGAGGAACCCCACAAGAGAGAGAGAGGGGACCTCTCAGAGACCAGGCCTCCCCTCTCCACTCGCTGTCCACGGTTGTGAAGAAAGGAGGACAGCCCGTTTAACGCTCTCCCCCGACTCACTCCAACAGCAGCAAGGCGGTGGGTCAAAAGATGGTGGTCGACTGTGTCAAATGCTGCTGTGAGATCCAATAACACAAGCAGTGCCAACCCGCCCTGGTCAAGCTGGCATCGAAGGTGATCCGTGATGGAGACCAGCACAGTCTCTGTCCCGTGTCCCGCACGGAAGCCGGACTGGAAGGGATCTAGTCCGGCTGTGTCGTCTAGGAATTGCTGCAACTGCTCCGCTGCTGCCCTCTCCATCACCTTGCCCAGAACAAGAGATTTGAAACTGGGTGGTAACTGGAGGGAACCGAACAATCTAAGTCTGGTTTCTTCAGCAGGGGAGAGACCACCGCCTCTTTTATACCCTCTGGAAAAACACCTTGCTCAAGGGAGCTGTTTATAATCTTCAACACTCCAGGCCAGGAAAGCTCTCTGACTTTAATCACAGCACAGCTGAGTAAAAATGCAAGCAGTTGATTGAATATATTTAAAAAGCAGTAGCAATAACAACACTCCATAAAAATAGGGGACTCCAATTAGGTAGAAATATAAGTAGAAACAGAGTCCAAGAAATTAATTAATCAGAGTTCTTGAAAAACAAATACAGAAACTTCCAAGGTAAAACCCCAAACATGAATCATGAATCAAACAAGGCACTTAACACATGAATCCATCCAAGGCAAGGCTTGCAAGGAAAATGGGAAGATGTCTTGACTCAATTCCAACGTTGCTTCATCTGGCTACAGATTCTCTACTTGGCACTTTTATCCCCTAATCTACTCTATGTCCCAAGCGGCCAGGAACGGATTTCGTTTTAGCCTTGACTCTGCTATCTCTCTGTCTCATTTGAGAGATTGGTTTGTTTGCCTGTACTGACTGAAAATATGCCTTCTATCTTCTGGCTCATTAATTTCTGTGAGTTTTTCAGGCTGCCTGGCCATGTTCCAGAAGTAGGGCTGGGCGGTTTCGTTCGTTAATTTCGTAATTCGTTATTAATTCGTATTTAAATTAGCTTACGATCCGATATTGAGCCATGCAGGAATAGTGTGAGGAGTAAATTAGATTCGAAACAATTTTTTCAATTTATTTCGTAATTATTTTGTTATTATTTCGAAATTATTTCGTAATTTTTTCGTAATTATTTCGTAATTATTTTCGCATGTCTGGTGCAAGTTTTATAGTTGTTGTTTGTTTTATCACACCAACAGTCAACAACAGAGGGAGAGGGAAGCTTCAGAAGTTCCCCTGTCCCATTTGGAGGTTTTTTTAGCATATTGCCATTAACGAATCGATTTGAAATTAACGAAATTTCGTAAATAACGAAACTTTGAAATCTCAAAATTTCGGAAGTATTTAGAATTTGGAAATGCTAGCGCTCCCTGGAAACGAATCGAGTTTAGAAACAATTTTTTCCGTGGTTACCCAGCCCTATCCAGAAGCATTCTCTCCTGATGTTTTGCCTGCATCTATGGCAGGCATCCTCAGAGGTTGTGAGGTCTCAACATTGACAGTGAAATACAACACCGCCTGAGCTCTGTGAGTGCAGCATTCGTCCGAATGAAGGAGAGAGTGTTTGAGGATTGGAACATTCGTAGGGAGAAAAGAACTTGCTTTTTTGAGGTATGTGTGAATGTTTCATGTTGAACGGCTCAGCAGTTTCAAGATGTGGATTCTTACTGCCTGGGGGAATCCTTTGTTGGAAGGTGATTAGTTGGCCCTGATACAGAATACAGAATACAGAAACTTCCAAGGTAAAACCCCAAAACATGAATCATGAATCAAACAATATGTTTTTAATTGTGTAATGATGATGCATTGTGTGGTTTGTATTTTTGTATATGAACACATGTTGTGAACCGGATCTGAGTCCCTCTTGTAGGTGAGAAGATCGGTATAGAAATTTTTTAAAGAAATAATAAATAAACAAGGCACTTAACACATGAATCCATCCAAGGCAAGGCTTGCAAGGAAAATGGGAAGATGTCTTGGCTCAATTCCAACGTTGCTTCGTCTGGCTACAGATTCTCTACTTGGCACTTTTATCCCCTAATCTACTCTATGTCCCAAGCGGCCAGGAACGGATTTCGTTTTAGTCTTGACTCTGCTATCACTCTCTCAGTCTCATCTGAGAAATTGGTTTGTTTGCCTGTACTGACTGAAAATATGCCTTCTATCTTCTGGCTCATTAATTTCTGTGAGTTCGGGGATCCTTCTTCAGGTATATGAAGGAAATATACACCAGAAGACTGATATAGACTACTCACAACCTGAAGAAGGATCCCCAAAACAAGAATAGTGTACCCGGGATTACTTGTTGTTGTGCTGTTGTGCTTGTTATGTTCACTATTATTCGACATGTGTACTAATTCCCTTTGAACATTTATGTAGACCATGTCGAGAGTTACAGTAGAGTCACAATTAGAACCCAGTTGGAATTGGGAAGCAAGACTAAAATAATTGTGGAATTATTATTGTTTTGAATTGTTCTGTGCTATTGAAACCGATATTGTTGCATCATTGAGTCTCAACCAGTTCAACCTAGTTTGTGGCAGCCACAAAAAAAGGTGACATTTCTGGAGTAGAACAACTCCTTTCAAAATAAGTACCATACAACTAAATAGGATATAACACTTTTCAAACAGGAATAGAATTTTTTCCCCCAAATTTTGTTACATTCTGTAATTAGTAATTTGGCAACTTACTCCATAGTCATCTGGGAGACCGTGTCGAAGTTGGTGAAGCCACCGTTGGCGAAGTTTTCCTTGTAGTGTCCCATTTTGATGGCTTCGAGCCATTCGTCGACGGTGTTGAAGCTGGAATAATCTGGGATCGTGCGGTCGAGTAAAGGCAGGTTAATCCTGGAAGAGAATCCCCCCAAAATGGGAGGCGGAGTCAATTCAGGTGGGCCAGCTCCTTCTCCTTGCCAATGTTATGGAGAACCTGACAAGTGGGAGCTGGTTACCCGCGTATTATTTCATGGAGCTTCCGTGAAATTCGGACGAAATCCGGTTGTTAGTAGCCAGCTGCGTTAAATCTCTACTGGCCGAGAGGTCGTGAGTTCGAAGCCAGCCCGGGTCAGAGTGAACTCCCAACGATTAATAGTCTAGCTTATTGTTGACCTATGCAGCCCAAAAGACAGTTGCATCTATCAAGTAGGAAATTTAGGTACTGCTTTATGTGTGGAGGCTAATTTAACAAATTTACGACACCATAAAACCTTCCAGCAGCATGCAGAAGAATGTGGAAGTACTCCATCAAGAACTCAGTGTCACAAGTGGATGGTGAAGGGGCAGCTCCCCCTGTGGCCGGAATTGAGCATACCCTCATGAAGCCAGAAAGCTGTAATGTTCAATTGCTTCTATATAAGCCCTAAACCAGTGGTTCTCAACCTGGGGTCCCCAGATGTTTTTGGCCTACAACTCCCAGAAATCCCAGCCAGTTTAGCAGCTGTTAGGATTTCTGGGAGTTGAAAGCCAAAAACATCTGGGGACCCCAGGTTGAGAACCACTGCCCTAAACGGTTCCGGTCCGGCTTACCTATCCGAATGTATGTCTCCTTATGAACCATCTAGGACTTTAAGATTGTCTGGGGAGGCCCTGCTCTCGATCCTGCCTTCTTTGCAGATGTGTTTGGTAGGGACGAGAGACAGGGCCTTCTCAGTGGTGGCCCCTCGGCTATGGAATGCCCTCCCCAGGGATATAAGGTAGGCTCCCTCCCTCCAATTCTTCACAAAATGAAGCAGGGGTCATCTGAGTCTCTGAAATGAATTACTAATCAGATTTCACACACCTCTAAAAGACAGATAAGAGGTTTTTAATATATATATATATATATATATATATATATATATATATATATATATATTTGTGCAAATATATTTTCTAAAAATCAGTGGATGACCAAAACATTCTGAAACTTAGCAGGCTTATATTTGTAAATGTTGTCTGCAAGCATGCTAAGTTTCATCCGGATAGCCATTAAAATGACAGAGAAACGAGCCTTCACATTTTCCACTAATAGAACCAATCTTAACGAAACAATTAAGAAGCTTCGGAGATTCGGATTACAAAACAAAACAGGACCCCCTCCGAATCTTAACGAAATGAAGCAGGACCCCCTCCAATTCTTAACAAAACGAAGCAGGGGTCATCTGAGTCTCTGAAATGAATTACTAACCAGATTTCGCACATCTCTAAAAGACAGATAAGAGATTTTTTAAAAAAATATTTGTACAATTTTTTAAAAAATTCCCAAAAATCAGTGGATGATTGAAACATTCTGAAACTTAGCAGGCTTGAATTTGTAAATATTGCCTACCAGTGTGCCAAGTTTCATCTGGATGGCCATAAAAATGACAGAGAAACGAGCCTTCACATTTTCCACGAATAGAACCAATCTTAATGAAACAATTACGAAGCTTCGGAGATTCGGATTACGAAACAAAACAGGACCCCCGCCGAATCTTAACAAAATGAAGCAGGACCCCCTCCAATTCTTAACAAAATGAAGCAGGGGTCATTTGAGTTCTGAAATGAATTACTAATCAGATTTCACACACCTCTAAAAGGCAGATTTTTAAAAAATTATTTCTACAAATTTTTAAAAAATTCCCAAAAATCAGTGGATGATTGAAACATTCTGAAACTTAGCAGGCTTGAATTTGTAAATATTGCCTGAAGTGTGCCAAGTTTCATCCGGATAGTCATAAAAATGACAGAGAAACGAGCCTTGACATTTTCCGCTAATAGAACCAATCTTAACGAAACAATTACAAAGCTTCGGAGATTCGGATTATGAAACAAAAAAGGACCCCCGCCGAATCTTAACAAAATGAAGCAGGACCCCCTTCAATTCTTAACAAAATGAAGCAGGGGTCATTTGAGTCTCTGAAATGAATTACTAATCAGATTTCACACACCTCTAAAAGACAGATAAGAGATTTTTTTAAAAAATATTTGTACATTTTTTAAAAAAATTCCCAAAAATCAGTGGATGATTGAAACATTCTGAAACTTAGCAGGCTTGAATTTGTAAATATTGCCTACCAGTGTGCCAAGTTTCATCTGGATGGCCATAAAAATGACAGAGAAACGAGCCTTCACATTTTCCACGAATAGAACCAATCTTAATGAAACAATTACGAAGCTTCGGAGATTTGGATTACGAAACAAAACAGGATCCCCTCCGAATCTTAACGAAATGAAGCAGAGGCCATCCGATTCTCTGAAATGAATTACTAATCAGATTTCAGCCCCCTCACACACCTCTAAAAGATAGATAAGAGGCACCGTGAGAGAAGGACAAAGGAAGCAGAGCGATGTGGACGGCAGGACAGAAGAGGGAATGGGTGGAGATAACAACATAGCGAAGTTTGACCAAGGAGAAGCAAGCCATTGGCTTCTTCAGACTCTTGAAGATTAGACATTAAGCTTGTGCGATCAATGAAAAAAAGTATCAATATTCATTGCTAAATTAGGGAATGGAGAGGGAATTTTTTCTAAAGTATTTCCAAAATTGGACGAGATCTGTATCATAACTATTAGGGCTGGGTAACCACGGAAAAATTTGTTTCTAAACTCGATTCGTTTCCAGGGGGCGCTAGCGTTTCCAAATTCTAAATACTTCCGAAATTTTGAGATTTCAAAATTTCGTTATTTACGAAATTTTGTTAATTTCGAATCAATTCGTTAATGGCGGACGCAATTGCGCAATATGCTAAAAAAAACCTCCAAATGGGACAGGGGGAACTTCTGAAGCTTCCCTCTCCCTCTGTTGTTGACTGTTGGTGTGATAAAACAAACAACAACTATAAAACTTGCACCAGACATGCGAAAATAATTACGAAATAATTACGAAAAATTACGAAATAATTTCGAAATAATAACGAAACAATAACGAAATAAATTGAAAAAATTGTTTCGAATCTAATTTACTCCTCACACTATTCCTGCATGGCTCAATGTCGGATCGTAAGCGAATTTAAATATGAATTAATAACGAATTATGAAATTAACGAACGAAACCGCCCAGCCCTAATAACTATGAGCTGGTACCATATACACTCGAAGATAAGCTGAGTTTTTCAACCCATTTTTGAGCCGAGAAAGCCTTCTTCGGCTTATATGAAATTTCGCTACTCTCGTTATAGTCACAAAATTTCATACTTTAGAAACACTTTAGAAGCGAAACACTGGCACCCCCTAATTTTGTAATGAATTTTGAAACTCTTTTCATTGACCGCGCAGCCCTACAAATTACAAACGAAGTTTCACACATCCCATCGCCCTCCAGAACCCGATAACTTCTTCCCTACCCAGAGGAGAGCGGGGCCATGGCTTTCAAGCTGTTTGGGTTCCGGATCATCTTGTCTAAAGTGTTGACAATCTGTCCGAATTTGGGCCGGTGGTTGCGGTCCTTCTGCCAGCAGTCCAACATGAGCTGGTGTAAGGCGCTGGGGCAGTCCATGGGCGGGGGCAACCGGTAATCCTGCTCGATGGCGTTGATGACCTGTATGAGAAAGGAGAATGGTGAAACAACCCTTCCTAAATGCGTGCTGTCACCGGGACATAAGTATCCACTGATTTGTGTACCTCCAGACCTTTGGTGATGAATGTGTTAAGTATACAATAGGCTTGGTTGATCAAGAAAAAAATGGTTCTAAACTCGTTTCATATGTAGGGGGCGCTGGAGGTTCGATTTTTAAATTATTTCCGAAATTTTCTTTAAAAATAGATCGAAATTACCAGGAAATACGAATCGTTTCCTTTGTTTCGTTAATGAAAGGTGCCCTTCCTTCCCTCCAGAACCATTAAAATCTCGCAGTTTCCCTTCCTTCCCTTGCGGCAGAAGGGAGAGGTGGGCGTGGCCAAGCACAGCCCTCCTCGGAGGACTCGCCCCCAGTGACCTCCGAGCGAGGAGCGCTGTGCTTGGCCACGCCCACCTCCTTCCTCTTTGCATCGGCGGCTTTGCGAGGTGGGCGTGGCTACGCCCAGCTCTTCCGCATCGCCGCTTGTCGCCAGGGAGGTAGTCACGCCCACCTCGCAAAGCCGCCGATGCAAAGAGGAAGGAGGTGGGCATGGGTAAGAACAGCTGTTCCTGAAGGCCACGCCCCCAGCATTTACGATTGACTGCCGGAAGTCGTAAGGAAGATGGCGGACGCAGCTTTGATATGGTAAAAACACTTCCGGGTTGCCAAAACGCGTCGATATCGCTTCTAAAGGTAATTATTTAACGAATTAATAACGAATTAAGAAATTAACAAACTGGATCATCAAAGCCTAGTATACAAAGCTATGCAAAGGACCATCAGAAACATAGGCTACAATACAGTACTCATCGATTCCACAACCCATGGCTTGAAAATATAATAATAATAATAATAATAATAATAATAATAATAATATTATTATTATTATTATTATTATTATTATTATATTTATTTATTTTGTATCCAAGCCATTGCATAAATTATAAAACACAAGTGGATAAAAATCTTTTGACCAAAAATGGGGAACAGCAACCGCATTGTCTGTAGCTTCCAACCATTCTTCCTCTGTACATGAGGCAGGACATAGAGGACAAGCACAGAGATGCAGAGTTGTCTGTTCTGCTCCACAGTCGCACAAGGTGAAGGATACTTTTAGGTCGTGCCGTTTTGCCAGGTTGTCTTTTGATCGGCCTACTCCACTTCTGACCTCACAATCAAAATTGTCAATATATCTCTTGAATAGTGGTGCCCAGAATTGGACAAAATATTCCAGGTGTGGTCTAACCAAAGCGGAATAGAGCATGGGGAGCATGACTTCCCTAGATCTAGACACTATGCTCCTCTTGATGCAGGCCAAAATCCCATTGGTACGCTCCATCCACGGCATTCCCTGCATCTACCCAGCTTGTAACTCTATCGTAAAAAGAGATCAGATGAGTCTGGCATGACTTGTTTTTGATAAATCCATGTTGACTATTAGCGATGACCGCATTTGTTTCTAAGAGTTTGCAGACCGCTTCCTTAACAATCTTTTCCAGAATCTTGCCTGGTAGCAACGTAAGGCTGAGCGGACATTGGTCATTGTTTAGGTCATCCTTTTTTCCCTTCTTGAAGATTGGGACCACATTGGCCCTCCTCCAATCTGCTGGAACTTCTCCCGTTCTCCAAGAACCCTCAAAGATGATTGCCAATGGTTCTGAAATGACTTCCGCTAGTTCCTTCAGTACTCTTGGGTGTAGTTGATCTGGCCCTGAAAGGGGACTTGAACTCATTTAGAGTGGCCAGGTATTCCTGGACGACTTGTTTCCCAATTTGTGGTTGGATGTCCTCTAATCCCTCATCCACTCCATCTTGCTGAGGTTGAAGATGACTTTCTTTTTGTGAGAAGACCGAGGCAAAGAAGGTATTAAGTAGTTCTGCCTTTTCCCTATCCCCTGTCACCATTGCCCCATCTTCTCCTCAAAGAGGCCCTATTGCCTCCTTCTTTTTCCTTTTTCTACTGACATAAAAATAAGCCCTTTTTATTGTTTTTAATGTCCCGCAAGCCTGAGCTCGTTTTGTGCTTTAGCCTTGCGGACCTTTTCCCTACAGGTGTTGGCTATTTCTTTTAATTCTTCTTTGGTGATTTCTCCCTTTTTCCACTTCTTGTGCATGTCTCTTTTGGGTCTTAGCACAGTTAGTAGTTCTTTGGAGATCCATTCTGGCTTCTTTGCACTTGTCCTATTTTTTACTCTTTGTTGGCACGGTTTGCAATTGCGCCTTGAGTATTTCACTCTTGAGAAATTCCCATCCATCTGTAACTCACTTGTCTTTTAGTATCTGTGTCCACGGAATGCTGCTCAGCGTTTCCTTCATTTTTTCGGAAATCAGCTCTCCTAAAGTCCAAAAGTCCTTGTATTGGAAGAAAACGCTGCCGGCTTGCCCATGCGCTTAGCAACTAGCAGCTGGTCTTTGTGCTGCCAAAATGAGATGTGTGCATGCGCATGATGCGCCTGCAAAGAACCCGTCACTGCATCCCCCGCCGCAATGGCCTTGGGGAGCTCCTTCCTTTCCTGAAAGAGATGTCAGCGGCTCTGCTAATGTTCACAGCCGGGGCCAAGAAGGCTAATCAGCAAGGAGCACGACCCCGTTGCCCGGAAGCGCTGCGCCAACGAGGCAGCAACAGCTTTCGAGGTGGGATGCTCCAGGGCAAGGAGAGGGTGGGCCGTAGTATGAGCAAGACGGTGAGAATCTGCTGTTTGGAGAGGGGCAGAAGTCAGAAATGAAGCTGGGAATGGAAACAACCCATGGGCTCCAAAACCAGAACACCAACATGTGGGTCACTTCCAGATCCTTTTTTAAACAATCAGTTTATTATTATTTTGTATCAAAAATGGCATAAATTAGTATAAAACCAATAAGAATAGAAGGAACGCAGGTGGCTAAATATCTTTTGACCAAAAACGGGCATTGTCTGTAGCCTCCAATAATTCCTCCTCTGTACATGAGGCAGGGCACAATGGATAAGCATACAGATGCAGAGTTGTCTGTTCTCCTCCACAGTCACACAAGGTGGGGGATTATTTTCGGTCATGCCATTTTGCCACGTTGCCTTTTGATCTGCCCATTACGCTTCTGAGTCTGTTGAGGGACTTCCAGGTTGCCCATTCTTGCCCCTGGAGGAAAACCATCTCTTGTGGGGGGCCATCCAGTCGGGATTTCCTGGTTTAGCTGCCCAGAAGAACGCCAAGAGGAGTGGTTGCTCTCATAAAGCTTTTCCTTGATTTGAGTCTACTGGGAGGAGGCTGGTAGCCATGTAGTGGGTGGCTTTCACAGGGTTCAACCTTATTTCTCTCACATTTTGCAGCAACTTCCCATCGCACATCAGAGGGGGCAATGCCAGCTAGCTTGTAGAGTTTATCAAGAGGTGTAGGTTTAAGACATCCTGTGATTATTCTGCATGTTTTGTTCCATGAGAGTATATCAAGAGGTGTAGGTTTAAGACATCCTGTGATTATTCTGCATGTTTCATTCAATGAGAGGTGTAGGTTTAAGAGATCCTATGAGTATTCTGCATGTTTCGTTCAATGAGAATTTATCAAAAGATGTAGGTTTAAGACATCCTGTGATTATTCTGGATGTTTCGTTCAATGAGAGTTTATCAAGAGGTGTAGGTTTAAGACATCCTGTGATTATTCTGCATGTTTCATTCAATGAGAGGTGTAGGTTTAAGACATCCTGTGATTATTCTGCATGTTTCGTTCAATGAGAATTTATCAGGAGGTGTAGGTTTAAGACTTCTTGTGATTATTCTGCATGTTTCGTTCAATGAGAGTTTATCAACAGGTGTAGGTTTAAGACATCCTGTGATTATTCTGTATGTTTCATTCAATGGGAGTTTATCAACAGGTGTAGGTTTAAGACATCCTATGATTATTATGCATGTTTCATTCAATGAGAGTTTATCAAGAGGTGTAGGTTTAAGACATCCTATAAGTATTCTGCATGTTTCGTTCAATGAGAATTTATCAAAAGGTGTAGGTTTAAGACTTCCTGTGATTATTCTGCATGTTTCATTCAATGAATTTATCAAGAGGTGTAGGTTTAAGACATCCTGTGATTATTCTGCATGTTTCATTCAATGAATTTATCAAGAGGTGTAGGTTTAAGACTTCCTGTGATTATTCTGCATGTTTCATTCAATGAATTTATCAAGAGGTGTAGGTTTAAGACTTCCTGTGATTATTCTGCATGTTTCATTCAATGAATTTATCAAGAGGTGTAGGTTTAAGACTTCCTGTGATTATTCTGCATGTTTCATTCAATGAGAGTTTATCAAGAGGTGTAGGTTTAAGACATCCTGTGATTATTCTGCATGTTTCATTCAATGAGAGTTTATCAATAGGTGTAGGTTTAAGACTTCCTGTGATTATTCTGCATGTTTCATTCAATGAGAGTTTATCAAAAGGTGTAGGTTTAAGACTTCCTGTGATTAATATGCATATTTTGTTCAATGAGAGGTGTAGGTTTAAGACATCCTATGAGTATTCTCCACATTTCATTCAATGAGAGTTCATCAAGAGGTGTAGGTTTAAGACATTAAGGAAGGAAGGAGGAAAAGGAAGGAGGGGATGAAGAAAGGAGGGAGGGAAGGAAATGAAGGGGAAGGAAATGAAGAAATGGAAAGAAGGAGGAAAGGGAGGGAGGAGGAAAGAAGGAAAGAAAGAAGGAAGGACAGGAAAGAAAGAAAAAGAAAGGGAAGGAGGGAAAGAAGGGAAGGAAGGAAAAAAAGGAGGGACAGGAAGGGAGGGAGGAAGGGAGGGAGGAGAAGGAAGGAAGGAGGAAGGAAGGAGGGAAAGAAAGGAGGGGGATGAAGAAAGGAGGGAGGGAAGGAAATGAAGGGGAAGGAAATGAAGAAAGGGAAAGAAGAAGGAAAGGGAGGGAGGAAGGAAAAGAAAGGAAGAAGGAAGGAGGGACAGGAAGGAAGGGAAGGAGGGAAAGAAGGAAAGGAAGGAGAAGGAAAGAAGAAAAGGAAAGAAAAGAAGGAAGGAAGGAAGGAAGGAAGGAAGGAAGGAAGGGGAGGAAAAAAGGGAACGGAGTGAGGGAGAGAAGGAAGGTCCTTCATTCAAGCATTGTGGACCTTCCTCGCCTCTTCCTCCTCCTCCTCCTCCTCCTCCTTCTCCTCCTCCTCCTCCTCCTCCTCCTCCCCTTCTTCCTTGCTCTGTTGCTGCTGCTGGCACTCATCTACCCTTTCCTCTTCCAACAGGGAAAGAAGGAGGAGACTGCTCTCTTGACATAGGAGGGAAAGAGAAGGGACTGCATGCGGCAAGCCTCCATCTCCACTCCACTCGCTTGTGTGTGTGTGTGCGGCCATGCACGTGCGCCTGGCTTTAATGGCCGGCTGTTTCCCCGTGAGGAGGAGGAGGAGGGGGCGTGGCCATGGGTCTCGGTAGACATGCAGTTTCTCCTTTGTGGACATGCAGTTTAGAAGTCCTTTCTGCTTTTTGTTTTCATTGTTTTTTTGAGTGGAGAACATACATTGGGTTGTTAGGGACATCGTGTCCAAATTTGGTGTCAATTGCCCCAGTGGTTTCTGAGTTCTGTGAATACCACAAACGAACATTGCATTTTTATTTATATAGATTACTACTACTACTACTACTACTACTACTACCTAATAGGCCTGGGTAAGCACGGAAAATTTTGTTTTGTTTTTAGGGGGCCCTTGCGTTTTGTTTTTTAAAAGAATTCCGAAATTTTCCTTTAAAAAATTTCGAAATTTACGAAATTTCGTATAATTACGAATCGATTTGTTAATGGCAGACGCGATTGCGCAATATGCTAAAAAACCCTCCAAATGGGACAGGGGGAACTTCTGAAGCTTCCCTCTCCCTCTGTTGTTGACTGTTGGTGTGATAAAACAAACAACAACTATAAAACTTGCACCAGACATGCCAAAATAATTACGAAATAATTACGAAATAATTTCGAAATAATTACGAAATAATAACGAAATAATAACGAAACAATAACGAAATAAATTGAAAAAATTGTTTTGAATCTAATTTACTCCTCACACAATTCCTGCATGGCTCAATATTGGATCGTAAGCTAATTTAAATACGAATTAATAACGAATTACGAAATTAACGAACGAAACCGCCCAAGCCTACTACCTAATCTCCCAGTGATTTGGAGCTGTTTCAGACTTGGTGTGTCTGTGTATTTTCCATATGGTGACCACATTAATCTCCTACCGTTTTCTCAGGCAAGGATTACTCAGCGGTGGTTTGGTCAAGTCCTTCCTCTGAACTCGCACCCAGTCACTCATAACTAATTATGGGCAGAGTAGCCATTGAATACATAACTCCAAGCCATGAGCTTGGCCGCGACTTACGTCTTGATTGGTCATATCCCAGTAAGGCCGCTCGCCGTAGGACATCACTTCCCACATGACTATGCCGTAGCTCCATACGTCACTGGCGGAAGTGAACTTCCGATACTGAATGGCTTCGGGTGCCGTCCAACGGATTGGGATCTTTCCACCCTGGAGGAAGAAAAGGAAAGAGGAAGGATGGTCAGCGAGTAGTGGAGCTGCATCCCTTGTGAGAGGCCTACATTTACCAAAGAGTTTCTGTAGTTGCTGACATGGATTGCCCATGCTTCCTCTTACCAGGGCGCTGGTGTAAGTTGGGTCCGAGGTGTCATCCTCCAGGAAGCGGGAAAGGCCGAAGTCGGAGACCTTGCAGACCAAGTTGCTGTTGACGAGGATGTTGCGGGCAGCCAGGTCACGGTGGACGTAGTTCATGTCTGCCAGGTACTTCATGCCGGCAGCGATGCCTCTCAGCATGCCCACCAGTTGGATCACCGTGAACTGCCCGTCATTTTGCTAAAAAGAGATACAGAAAGAAAGGTGTTGCACCTCAGCTAAAGTTCACCTTGCTCAAGTACTCACCAGGAAGCCAAGTGTAATAATAAGCAGTTTATTGATAAAGCACACGCAGTAAAAGTAAAAAATCCAAATATGTAAAGATAGAAGGCGTTCCAAAAGCCAGAGATAAATCTCCAATGCAAAGGTTAAAGCATGAAAGGAGGGAGTCAAAAAGAATCAAGTTTTGCTTTAAGTCTTGGGGATTTTACCATGGACTCAAGCTCATGTTTTGTTCTTTCTTTTTTGGGCTGCTCAAGCTCATGTTTTATTCCTTGTCTCTTGGATTAATCAAGCTCATTAATATACAAGGTGCATGGAACAAACATGAGCTTGATTAATCCAAGAGACAAGGAATAAAACATGAGCTTGAGTAGTCCAAGAAACAAAGAACAAAACATGAGCTTGAGTCCATGGTAAAATCCCCAAGACTAAAAGCAAAACTTGATTAGGAAATTTGGCTTGAAGCTTGGAACAAGACAGGAGCTTCTTGCTCTATTTGCTACGTTGAAGGCCCTGCACCCCCAAACCCCTCATCATCATCATCCTCAGCAGAAACATCAGGCCCTGCAGAACCCCACCAATGATGGAATTGATCCAAACTTGGGACACAGTTCTCCCATGACCAACAGAAAACAGTAGAAGGGTTTGGTGGGCATTGACTTTGAGTTTGGAAGTTGTAGTTCCCAAGTGTCTAGGACACTTATCATCATCATCATCATCATCATCACATGTTGGACACTTCCCAAATGTCTAGGACACTTCTTCTTCTTCTTCTTCTTCTTCTTCTTCTTCTTCTTCTTATTATTATTATTATTATTATTATTATTATCATCATCATCACACGTCGGACACTTCCCAGTGTCTAGGACACTTCTTCTTCTTCTTCTTCTTCTTCTTCTTCTTCTTCTTCTTCTTATTATTATTATTATTATCATCATCACACGTCGGACACTTCCCAAGTGTCTAGGACACTTCTTCTTCTGCTTCTTCTTCTTATTATTATTATTATCATCATCATCATCATCATCATCATCACACGTCGGACACTTCCCAAGTGTCTAGGACACTTCTTCTTCTTCTTCTTCTTCTTCTTCTTCTTCTTCTTCTTATTATTATTATTATTATTATTATTATTATTATCATCACACATCGGATACTTCCAAAATGTCTAGGACACATTATTATTATTATCATCATCATCATCGTCATCATCATCATCACACGTCAGACACTTCCCAAATGTCTAGGACACATTATCATCATCATCATCATCATCATCATCATCATCATCATCATCGCACGTCAGACACTTCCCAAATGTCTAGGACACATTATCATCATCATCATCATCATCACCACACGTCAGACACTTCCCAAATGTCTAGGACACATTATCATCATCATCATCATCATCATCATCATCATCATCATCATCATCACACGTCGGACACTTCCCAAATGTCTAGGACACATTATTATTATTATTATTATTATTATTATTATTATTATTATTATCACCATCATCATCACATGTCGGACACTTCACAAGTGTCTAGGACATTATTATTATTATTATTATTATTATTATTATTATTATTATATGACAGGGCTATTCAGAGAGAGAGAGAGAGAGAGAGAGAGAGAAAGGCTACCACTTTGTACAATCTCTCGTTTGTTTGAGCTCCCCTCTTTGGTGGCCTACCCGCAAGAAGGAGTCCAAGGAGCCGTTCTCCATGAATTCGGTGACAATCATGACGGGCGTGCTCTTGGTGACGACCCCTTCCAGGTGGATGACGTTGGGGTGGTCGAACTGGCCCATGATGCTGGCCTCGCTCAGGAAGTCCCGGCGCTGCTTCTCGGTGTAGCCCGACTTCAGCGTCTTGATGGCCACAAAGCTCTCCCGCTTGCCCGGGAGCTTCAGGTGGCCACTGCACACCTCCCCAAACTCCCCTGAAGCACAAACAAGAAAGCAGAAGATAGGCCGAACTTGTCATAAATACTTTCTGATCTCCAAAAAAAGCATTAAAAACCACCTCCCAACAAAGGATTCCCCCAGGCAGTAAGAAGCCAAACCTTGAGAAGTGCTAATCAAGGTGGCCCAATTGAAACATTCACACCTATCTCCAACAGAAAAGAGTTCTTTCTCCCACCCTGGACATTTTTCCACGGATAACCCCACTTGCCTAGTTTCCAACAGACCTCACAACCTCGGAGGATGCCTGCCATAGATGTAGGTGAAAAGTCAGGAGAGAATGCTTCTGGAACATGGCCAGACAGCCCAGAAAACTCACAGCAACCCATAAAATATACTATTAAATAATAATAATAATAATAATAATAATAATATGAATCTATCCATCTATTCAGCCATCTATCCAGCGATCTCTCTCTCTCTCTCTCTCTCTCTCTCTCTCCATCCATTCATCCATCCATCTATCCTTCTATCTATCCTTCTAGCTATCTCTATCTATCTCTCTATCTCTCTATCTCTCTATCTCTCTATCTATCTATCTCTCTATCTATCTATCTATCTATCTATCTAATCTATCCATCCATCAATTCATCTATCCTTCTATCTATCCTTCTAGCTATCTCTATCTATCTATCTATCTATCTATCTATCTATCTATCTATCAATCTAGCTAGCTATCCATCCATCCATCCATCCATCCAGCCAGCCATCTATCTGTCTGTCTGTCTGTCTATTTATCACTCTATCACTCTATCTATCTATCTATCTATCTATCTATCTATCTCTCTCTACCTACCCATCTGTCCATCCATCTGTCCATCCATCTATCCATCCAGCCATCTATCCTTCTGTCTGTCTGTCTGTCTATCGGTCTATTTAATCTCTCTTCCTATTTCTCTATCAGTCTATCTTTCTATCTATCTATCTATCTGTCTGTCTGTCTGTCTGTCTGTCTGTCTATCTATCAGTCTATTTATCACTCCATCCGTCCATCCGTCTGTCCATCCATCCAGCTAGCCATCCATCCATCCATCAGTCTATTTATCAGTCTCCATCTGTCCATCCATCTGTCCGTCCATCCATCCATCCATCTGTCCATCCATCTAGCCATCCATCCATCCATCCATCTATCAATCTATCCATCATTTATCATCTATCTATCCTTCTATCATCTATCTATCTATCTATTTATCTATCTATCTATCTATGTGTCTCTGTCTGTCTGTCTGTCTGTCTGTCAATCTATCTATCTATCTATTAGGCCTGGGTAACAACGGAAAAATTTGTTTCTAAAATCGATTCGTTTTTTGGGGTTTTTTGCGTTTCGATATTTAAAAGAATTCCGAAATTTTCCTTTAAAAAAGTTCGATATTTACGAAATTTCGTAAATGGTAAAAAAATTACAAAACAATAATGAAACAATAACGAATCGATTCGTTAATGGCGGCCGCGATCGCGCAATACGCTAAAAAACTTCTGAAGCTTCCCTCTCCCTCTGTTGTTGACTGTTGGTGTGATATTATAATTTTTTTTCACTAATTAAACAAAAAACAACTATAAAACTTGCCCCAGACATGCGGAAATAATAACGAAACGACCTCAAACCAATAACGAAACGAATACATAACGAAATACGAAGCATTTACGAAACGAATTGAAAAATTTGTTTTGTTTTTAAGTTGCTCCAGAATGGTTCGTTATCGCTTCGTTAACAAAAAAAATAACGAATTTTTAACGAATTACGAATTAACGAAACGAAACCGCCCAGCCCTACTATCTATCTATCTATCTATCTATCTATCTATCTATCTCTACCTACCTACCTACCCATCCATTCATCTCTACCCATCTATCCATCCATCTATCCTTCTATCTATCTGTCTGTGTCTATCTATCAGTCTATCGGTCTATTTAATCTACCTCTCTTCCTATCTATCAATCAAACAGTTTATCTATTTATCACTCTATCTATCCATCTGTCCGTCCGTCCATCCATCCATCTGTCTGTCCGTCTGTCTGTCCATCCATCCATCTAGCCATCCAACCATCTGTCTGTCTGTCTGTCTGTCTATCTATCTGTCTGTCTGTCCATCAGCCTGTCTATACATCTATCCAGCCATCTATCCATCCAGCCATCTATCCATCCAGCCATCTATCTTTCTTTCTATCTATCTGTCTATTTAATCTATCTGTCTATCTATCAGTCTATCAGTCTATCTTCCTATCTATCTATCTATCTATCTATCTATCTATCTATCTATCTATCTATCTATCTATCTATCTATCTATCTATCTATCTGACTGTCTGTCTATGTATCTCTATCTATCTATCTATCTATCTATCATCAGTCTATCTATTTATCACTCTATCTATCTATCTATCTATCTATCTATCTATCTAAGGGCCCCCTGGTAGTGAAGTGGGTTAAACCACTGAACTGCTGTGAGTCGATCCAAAGGTTCTCCATGCAGTCACGCCAGTCATGTCAAGGGGAAATCTCCACCTTTTATATCGATCATTATATCAATCATCTATCTATCTAATCTATCGATCAGCAACCTTTGCCACTTTGTTTGCAGCCACACATTTGGCGATAGGGGCAGGCCACCGGGATGGGAGGTGGGGCTTACCTGCTCCGATCACCTGCTCGATTTTGACGCAGGAGATGTCAATTTCCTTGGCAAACTCCCGGACGGCTTCGTTGGGATCCTCGTAGGTGAATGGGTCGATGTAAATCTTCATGCCGGGCGTCACTACGCAGAGGCAGAGATAAGTAGAGTGGCATTGTCCATTGCATTACATTCAATGCGCTCTTTCCCCACACAGATTAGGAACTCATGCATGGAGGTGGATGACACTGAAAAAAAACTTTGTCTCTGCAGGAGGGACATCCTGCAGCACATTATTTTATATTATAATTGTGCTATTTATATATATAAAAAGAGAAAGGGCGTCCAACGGGACAGCAAAACGCAAAAATACCCCGACGAAAACTTACCAAATTTGCCATGCACATACCTCAACCCACAAGGTATGCACAAACCAATTCAAAATTCTAAACAACATTTCGACACACTCACAATAACAAAAACCAACTGAGCAAAGCCGCCCCACCACAAGTCCCCGGCGCGCGCACATGGCCGGCCGGCCAACACCCATCCTCCGTCGCCCCGCCCCTACCCTCCAATACCCCTCTTTCCAACGCACCCTCTGTTCACACCACACCCCCCATGTTCACGCCACGCCCCTACCCTCCACCGCCCCGCCCCTAAACACCCATACCCCAACCTTACCTCCTCCCCCTCCTTCTTCTTCCCCCGCCCACACCCCCTCCAAGGAAGTCACGCCCCCTCCAAACCCCGCCCCACCCCTTCCTGCCCTGTCCAAATCCATCCCTCCTCCCCCTCCTTCTTCCCCCACCCACGCCCCCTCCAAGGAAGCCACGCCCCCTCCAAACCCCACCCCGCTCCTTCCCACCCTGTCCAAATCCATCCCTCCTCCCCCTCCTTCTTCTTCCTCCACCCACGCCCCCTCCAAGGAAGTCACCCCTCCAAACCCCACCCCGCCCTTCCCGCCCTGTCCAAATCCATCCCTCCTCCCCTCCTTCTTCTTCCCCCCCCCACGCCCCCTCCAAGGAAGCCACGCCCCCTCCAAACCCCACCCCGCTCCTTCCCACCCTGTCCAAATCCATCCCTCCTCCCCCTCCTTCTTCTTCCTCCACCCACGCCCCCTCCAAGGAAGTCACGCCACCTCCAAACCCCCCCGCCCCTTCCTGCCCTGTCCAAACCCATCCCTCCTCCCCTCCTTCTTCTTCCCCCACCCACGCCCCCTCCAAGGAAGCCACGCCCCTTTCAAACCCCCCCCCCTTCCCGCCCTGTCAAAATCCATCCCTCCTCCCCCTCCTTCTTCTTCCCCCCACACCCCCTCCAAGGAAGCCACGCCCCCTCCAAACCCCCCGCCCCTTCCCCCTGTCCAAATCCATCCCTCCTCCCCCTCCTTCTTCTTCCCCCCCACCCCTCCAAGGAAGCCACGCCCCCTCCAAACCTGCCCCTTCCTGCCCTGTCCAAATCCATTCCCTCCTCCCCCTCCCCTGCTGCCACCATGAGGGAGGAAGGGAGGGAAGGTTTATGAAGGAAGGAAGGAGAAGTTGGGAAGGGAATGTGTCAAAAGGAAGGAAGGAAGGAAGGAAGGGGAATTTGGGAAGGGGAAGAGAGGAAAAAAGGTGTATGAAGGAAGGAAGGAGAAGTTGAGAAGGTATATGAAAGAAGAAAGGTAGGAAAGAAAGAATACAGAGAGAGAAGGAGGATGGGAAAGAAGGGAGAAAGGAAGGAAGGAGGAAAGGAAAGAAAGATAGAAAAAAAGAAGAAAGGGAAGGGGAAGGGAAGGTGTCAAAAGGAAGGAAGGAAGGAAGGAAGGAAGGAAGGGGAAGAGAGGGAAAAAAGCAAAGGAAGAAGAGAAAGGAAGGGAAGAAAAGAAAGAAAGAAAAGGAAGTCTGGAAGTCAAGAGTGAAGGAAGGAAGGAAAGAGATAGAGAGGGAGAGAAAGGAGAGAAAGAGGAAGGAAAATAAAAAGGGAGGAGGAAGGAAAGAGGAAGAGAAGGAAGGAGGAGAGAAGGAAAGAAAAAAGGGAAGGGAGGAAAGACGGAGCAAAGGAAGAAGAGAAAGAAGGAGAGAAAGAGGGAGGGAAGGAAAGAAATAAAGAGAAGGAAGGATGGGAGCAAAAAGCTAAGGAAGGAAGTAAACAGGTAGAGAAGGAAGAAAGGAAAGAAGAAAAGAAAATGAAGGAAGGAGTGAAAGAAGGAGAGAAAGAGGGAGAGAAGGTTGGCCACAGCAACGCGTGGCGGGTAAAGCTAGTTTATGTATATTCTTTTGTGGACCGACCCGAGTCCATGTGCATTACTAGTATTATTATTATTATAGCACATTTTGCTGTAGTCTTTCAATGTACAGTAGAGTCTTGGTTATCCAACGTAAATGGGCCAACAGAATGTCGGATGACCAAATATGTTGGATAATACTGAGGGATCAAGGAAAAGCCTATTAAACCCTCACTTTCCTGCCTCCGCTGGGGCCCTGCTCCCTACCCTGCTTGTCAACCACTCTCCCTTTGCCACCGGGATGAGGAGCTGGGGCCCGGAGGAGGCAGGTAGGGGAGGCCAGGTTCCTGGATCTGCCTTACTGCAGATGGGTGGTGGGACATAGGAGGAGATACGTTTGGACAGGTATGTCGGGCCGGAACGGATAGTAGGCTTGGTCGATTTTGTTTGGAAGCTTCTAAAATCGGAATTAATTCATATTAAATTGACTTTTGAAACAATTTCGAGCCATGCTGGAATAGTGTGAGGAGTAATTACGAATTGAAACAATTTACCAATTTTTCGGAATTATTTTCGGATGTCTGGTGCAAGTTTTACAATCTCGCAATTTCCTGAAGGCCACGCCCCCAGTTCTTACCCACGTCCCACCTTGTCCCTATTTGCATCGCGGGGCGTGCAAAGCCACCGATGCAAAGAGGAAGGAGGTGGCCGTGGGAAAGAACAGCTGTTCCTGAAGGCCACTGGGGGTGTGGCCTTCAGGAACAGCTGTTCTTAGCCACGCCCACCTCCTCCCTCTGCCATCCATCGCCGTTTGCAGTCGCCCAGGGAAGGGAAACTGCGAGATTAGTTTTAAAATCTTGCAGTTTCCCTTCCCTGGGTGACTATGAACGGCGATGGATGGCAGGGGAATGAGGTGGGCGTGGCTATGCCAGCTCTTCTTGACGGCCACTGGGGGCGTGGCCTTCAGGAAATGCTGGGCTTACCCACGCCCACCTCGCCCTACCGCATTGCCGCTTGTCGCCAGGGAGGCCAGGGAAACTGCGAGATTGTAAACTAACAGGGAGGAGGGGCACCTTCCATAGAATACGTACTGTGGCCGCTGGTGTAGTGCTGGAGCTTGTCGGTGTATTCGGAGTCGGCGCGCTCAAATCCTCGTCTTCTGGAAGGAGAGCATCGTGCTGAGCGGGAGGCAGGTGGACTAGCAAAGCAGGGGGCAAGGCTGGGCTTCAGCAATCAGCCCAGAAACACCCACACACCTCCCCGCTCCCCCCTTCCTTATGTTATAGACCCCTTTCCCGCTCACTCCGCCAAGTCCTTCTCCCTTCTTCGAGTATGCGCACATGCACACATATCTGGGGCTGGGTTGTTGTGAGTTTTCTGGCTGTATGGCCATTCTCTCCTAACATAGACCTCTGAAGATGCCAGCCACAGATGCAGGCGAAACATTAGGAGAGAATGCTACTGGAGGTTTAATCATCAGCAATTATAAGATCTATCAACCAAAAGGTTGCAAGTTCGAAACCCCAGATTGGTCAGCCTATCTCAATGTTTACCTAAGCCATTCGGAAACAGCTTTAGCTGTGATTAGAAAAAAATGGTGCTCACATATAAGGCAAATAAATAAATATATGAAAATCAGATTGTTAAATACAATATAAAATACACCATTAAAATCCTACAAATCGTTAAAATACAGTTTTCTCTCTCTACTTCACAGTTCATTTTTTGCAGACTCGCTGTTTTGCGGTTTTCCTTCCTTGCTACTCACCGGGCCAAGTTCTGGTTCTGCTACTGGGATGTGGCCCAGTGAGTAGTGAGCGAAGGAAGGGAGGATGGGTGGGTGAGCAAGGGAGAGAGGGTCACTGTTTCTGCCTTTGCAGCCCTCGCTCGCTCGCTCTCCCACCCATCCTCCCTCGCTCACTCGCTACTCACCGGGAGTCCTGATTCTGCCACCAGGACCTGGTCTGGTGAGTAGCAAGTGAGCGAGGGAAGGTGGGTGAGTGAGTGGGTGAGTGAGCGAGAAGGAGGAGCCTGGAAGAGATGGCATGGCTCCTGCTTCTGCTGCTGCCCTTGCCACCCACGCTCCCTCGCTCACTCACCCGACCTCCCTCACTTGCTCACTCACCGGTTTGGTTCCCGGTGGCGAAACTAGGACTTGGCCTGGTGCATAGTGAGCGAGGTGGGGTGGGTGAG